CCTGTGGTCCCAGCTACTTGGGAGGCAGAGGCAGGAGACTCGCTTGAGCCCAGGAGTTGGAGGTTGCTGTAAGCTGTGATGCTACAGCACTCTACTTAGGGGAATAGCTTGAGGCTCTGTCTCAAAAAAAATAATAAATAAAAATAAATGACTGATCTTGGAATTGTGCTAATAATAAGAAATGGTAATACTGTTAGTTAATGTAGGAAAATGTTACTAATCTCAAAGCTGTTGAAGTATTCTGAGCTAAAGTGTCTTTTTTTGTAGAGACAGAGTCTCACTTTATCACCCTCGGTACAGTGCCATGGCGTCGCACAGCTCACAGCAACCTCCCAACTCATCGGTCTAGGCAATTCTCTTGCCTCAGCCTCCTGAGTAGCTGGGACTACTGGTGCCCACCACAATGCCCAGCTATTTTTTGGTTGCAGTTTGGCTGGGGCCAGGTTTGAACCCGCCACCCTTGGTATATGGGGTCAGCACCCTACCCACTGAGCCACAGGCGCTGCCCAAATGTGTCTCTTTTTTTGAGACAGAGCCTCAAGCTGTCCCACTGGGTAGAGTGCAGTGGCATCACAGCTCACAGCAACCTCCAACTCCTGGGCTCAAGCAAGTCTCCTTCCTCAGCTTCCTAAGTAGCTGGGACCACAGGCGCCCGCCACAACGCCTGGCTATTTTTTGGTTGCAGCCATCATTGTTGTTTGGCGGGCCCGGGCTGGATTCAAACCCACCACCTTAGGTATATGTGGCTGACGCCTTAGCCACTTGAGCCACAGGCGCCAAGCCAGTGTGTCTTTTTTTGAGATAGTCTCACTCTACTGCCCTAGGTAGAGTGCCATGGCATCATCATAGCTTATAGCAACCTCGAACTCTTGGGCTCAAGTGATCCTCGTGCCTCACCCTCCTGGAAAGCTGGGACTACATGCACCCACCATAACTCCCAGCTAATTCTTTTATTTTTAGAGATAGAGGTCTTGTTCTTGCTCATGCTGGTCTTGAAGTCTTGAGCTTAAGCAATCCTCCTGCCTCAGCCTCCCAGAGTGCTAGGATTACAGGTGTGAGCCATTGTGACTGGCAAAGTGTGTCTTAATTACAACACTCAAATAGTTTAAGGAAAAGATAAATACATATATACACACACAGATAAATCAAGTGTGCTAAATGTTAATAAGTGATGATTCTTAAGAGGTTGCCATGGCCTTCACTGAGCCAAACATAATGTATATTGTTTAATCTCTTCTGTTCAGACACCCAAGCTGGAGAAGTGAAGAAACTCAGGAACGGGAACGGTCGAGGACAGGAAGTGAGTCATCGCAGACTGGAACCTCAGCCACATCTGGCAGAAGTAAGTCAGATCAGGGTGGGTATCATGTTACTGCTGTTTTCCATGAACTGTCTATAACCAAATTATGCAGAGACTTAGTATTACATTCAGTCATGAATTCTCTGTGTGGGTTAGAAGTCTTAGGCCCGATGTTCCATATGAGCTATCTCCAGGGCTGACCATTTTTGATGCTGTCTATAACCAGAGCAGTATTCTCCAGTGATGTCAAATGATTAGATTATAACACCTCCCTTCTCTTATTGTGGTTCTTAAAGGTCTTTCCTCCCACCTCTAAATTTCAAAACTCAGCTCTAGGCTGAAGTGATTTGTATCACAGCCCGTGTGTGTGTTGAGCTTCTGTTCTAAGTTGGAGTTGAGCAGTGGTTACTACAGTTTGGAGTTTTCGTCACAGGTCCCCTGCACACATACATGCATATATAACATTCTCCAGGTCAGAACATTTAACATTGAAAATGAAGAACAGCTATGATCTTACATTAAAGGTTACTCTTTCCATAAAAGGTCAGATGGCAGGCTATCCTTTAAGATGTAAATATCATTATTATAATCATTTCTCTTTGGGCATCAGTGAAACATTGTTTTCAAGATGACATTTAGAAAGCATTAAGTTAATTGCTACATCTATTGGGAGCCACATCAGAGTCTTCATTTAAGAATAAATGATGGGGCTCAGCGCCTGTGACTCAAGCGGCTAAGGCGCCAGCCACATACACCTACGGTGGCGGGTTCGAATCCCCAGCCTGGGCCCGCCAAACAACAATGATGGCTATAACCAAAAAATAGCCAGGCGTTGTGGCGGGCGCCTGTAGTCCCAGCTACTTGGGAGGCTGAGGCAGGAGACTCGCTTGAGCCCAGGAGTTGGAGGTTGCTGTGAGCTGTGATGCCATGGCACTCTACCCAGGGGGATAGCTTGAGGCTGTCTCAAAAAAAAAAAAAAAAGGAATAAATGATGGAAAGCAGTAAATTTGGATGGTGGGCCTTTTCCACTCTATTGTTGAGATTTTGATAAGTAATATACGTTGGCTTTCCCCCGTCCTTAACTTGATAATTGGATCTTTCTCTTCTGGCTTCACAGATGTGCGAAGGAGAGAGAGTGAGAAGTCTCTAGAAAATGAAACACTTAATAAGGAGGAAGACTGTCACTCTCCAACTTCTAAGCCACCCAGACCTGATCAGCCCCTAAAGGTAATGCCAGCTCCTCCACCAAAGGAGAATGCTTGGGTGAAGCGAAGTTCTAACCCTCCTGCTCGATCTCAGAGCTCAGACACAGAGCAACAGTCTCCTACAAGGTGAGTCAGCCTGGAAACAGAAATTACTTAGCCACAGAATCTTAAATACTGTGATAATGGTGGAAAACACCTGGTAGGATGTTGGCCTTTGTAAGTTGTGGTGTCTTTGGTGTGCTAGAGCTGGCTTATGAGAACCAGTTCTGGAGTTTTGGTTTTTTTCCTACCTTTTATGTCCCTGAAAAACTGATGAGTGTGATTATGTGCTTTCTTTCTAGTATTGGAGGGAAACTAGCTTCAGCTCAGCCATCTGAGGAAGTACCAGCAAGGAAAGGTGAGACCATATTAAGAGAAATGTGCCTACATTAAAAAAAAAAGGGGGCTCTAGAATAAATTCTTTTTTGAGATAAAATCCCACTTTCTTGCCCCCAGTAGAGTGCTTTGGCGTCATGGCTCACAGCTACCTCAAACTCTTGGGCTCAAGCAATCAGTCCTCTTGCCTTGGCCTCCCAAGTAGCTGGAACTATAGGCACCCACTACAATGCCTGGCTATTTTTTAAGAGACAGGGTCCTGGTATTGCTCAAGCTTATCTTGATCTTATGAGCTCAGGCAATCCATCCACTTCGGCCTCTCAGAGTGTTGGGATTACAGGTGTGAGCCACCATGTCCAGCCCTTAGAATCAAATTTTATATTGCAGTGTGTCTTGCACCTGATTTTATTAAAGGTCTTGGATTATTTTATCTGTCCTTTCCTGCCATTAGAGGGCAGAAGTGACCTCTTTGGAGAAAGCATGAAGCCCTCCCTTTCTTGGTAGAACCTTTATTTGAAAGAGGGGTGGAAATCGGAAGGAAGTTAATTACCATGTTCAGTCTGGATTAGAAATGTCACCATTAGCAAGGCCAAGGTCACTGCAGAGCATCATAGTCCTTATTTCCAGCTTGCTTTTTCATAATGGCATAACCTTACAGTGGAACTTTTTAGTGGATCTTGTTCAGGTATTTTGTGTGTGTGTGTGTATAATATAGAGGACATGGGGGAACGGCTTTCAGAAGGCAGTCTAGGTTGGGGTTAGGTTTAATTTCCCTCAGTCTTACAGGCACAGTTACATTAGGTTTGAAGGAAATCTAGGAGAGGGAGTGATTTGCTTTTACCATTACTGTTCAAGCAGATGAAAATAAAGTAGACGGGATGAATGTCCCAAAAGGCCAAACTGGGAACTCCAGCCGTGGTCCAGGAGATGGAGGGAACAAAGACCACTGGAAGGAGTCAGATAAGTATGCGTGTTTTCTTTCTCATCTTTTGTAGATATTTCCTCTGACATTGTATGTACATGTCTTTGTAATTAAGTTATTCTTGGTTTTTGAAGCACTCCCTAATCTCTCATTGTGAACAAATTGAAGTCAGCTGTTAGAGTTAAGATTTTGAGAATTGGCTCGGTGCCTGTGACTGAAGTGGCTAAGGTGCCAGCCACATACACCTAAGGTGGCGGGTTCGAATCCAGCCCGGGCCTGCCAAACAACAATGATGGCTGCAACCAAAAAATAGCCGGGTGTTGTGGCAGGCTCCTGTGGTCCCAGCTATTTGGGAGGCTGAGGCTTTAGCCCAGGAGTTGGAGGTTGCTGTGAGCTGTGATGCCACAGCACTCTACCCAGGGGGACAGCTTGAGGCTCTGTATCAAAAAAAAAATAAAAAAAGATTCTGAGAATTTAAAAATAATGCATTATCCAGAGAGCACAGCCTACTGACTAGAGATGCCTGTTCAGCTCCTTATAAATTGGAGCGTGTGAGTATTGGAGGAGTCCTTTCCTAAAGCTGTGGCTTTATGCTTACATCTCTGCAGGAAAGATGGCAAAAAGGATCAAGACTCCAGATCTGCACCTGAGCCAAAGAAACCTGAGGAAAATCCAGCCTCTGTAAGTGTTAAAGACTTGCTCACAAAGTCTTATTGTCATCGGACTAATTTAACATTGGGGGCTGCAGAGTGGTTGGAAGTAAGGCATTGGTATTTTTTCACAATAGTGAATGAAAATGAGATTAACTTTTTTCCCATTTTCACCTTTCTCCACTCTTGTCCCCTCTGCAAGATAAAAATGGTATACAACTCCAGTAAGATCACACATTTCTCTGACCTTCTTTGGCAGGCAGGCTGGTGCAAGGCTATACTATCATCCTGTATTTGCCAAAGTATGACTGTCTTGTTTCTTGGGTTTTAATGTGGTAATTCAAAGCCTCCGATATCTGTTTACTCTCATCTGTTACAGAAGTTCAGTTCTGCAAGCAAGTATGCTGCTCTGTCTGTTGATGGTGAAGATGAAAATGAGGGAGAAGATTACACCGAGTAGACCTCAACATCCTGTGCTTCAGCCTAGTCTCTTACCACCCTGGAACATTCAAGAGCAAATCAAACCTCTATCCAGACAAGACAAAATAAAACTCACCATCTCCTGGAGACCTTTCTTAACTTTTTTTTTAAATGAAATGAAATTCTTTTGCATGCTGCTGCAGCCTTTAAAGTATTGAAGTAACTGGAGAATCACCAATGTAGCCAGAGAGAAAGAGACTACAGCTTTTTAATGGAAAAGTTGTGGTGCGTTTTTTTTATGACACCATGCACTTGCCTGTGTGATTAGTGCCTGGGGGGACTCCATTTAGCAGAAGTGTAATGACAGTGATATACATCTGGAATCTGGTTGGGCAGTAGGGGAGGTATAAGGAAGAGTGTGAGATTTCTACCTTTTAATTCTTATTCTATTGTGGCATATATGAATTCTCAAACAGTATCTGAATAAATTTTCCATCTTTGGAAAGGTAGATTTAGCCTCACGTTGTTGTAGTCTCCAGGAGGCTGCTAGCCCCTCCTCTTATTTAATTCTGAGTTATTGGGGCCAGCCCAGGGGGAATTCCTTCATTTTTTTTTTTTTTTACCCCCCAGGGGGGTAGTTGGGAGTGATTATTCAGCCACTAAAGAATAGGACTGCTTGGGACCAAAATAAATGGGAAAATCGTGGTTTGACAAGAAGCTTTGGGGAGGTGATGAATCATTTTGCACCAATTTATAGGGGAAAATGGTGTGACCTCCAATAAACACATGAATGGTTATTTTCTGGAGCAGGAACCACTTAGGTGTCTTGGGAATTCCCAGTCTTTTTATGTGTCCTGATTTTGCCCTTTCTAAACACTATCCTTTTTGAAATTCCAGATAAACCATATTCTGTTGAAATCTTGAAGCTTAAAAAATTTAGATTGTCATTGTCCTAAGTTCTTCATGGTACTCTTACCTCCCAAAAAGCAGTCTCTATTTGTCACATATCTATTATCCTAGGGCATTTTATGTCAGCTACTGGGAGCTGAAGGAAGAATCACTGCTTTTCTCAAGCAAATTGGTTCCTTGTTGTCTTTGACTCTCCTTATTACCTCCATCCATGCCCACTCCTGCTTTGACCCTTGTACAGATGAGATTTACTCTAGAATTGATGGTCTTGGGTGGTTAAAAAAAAAAAAAGTGGATAAATAAGGGACCGATAAATTGGGAGCCTTTGTTAACAATCTTTTGTTCCCCCAAGTTTCCTGCTCTCCACTGAAATCCCACACCAGTGCTTAGATTTATGTGGCCTAGAGAGTGTGTGTGTGTGTGTGTGTGTGTTGTTTTTAAGCTTCTCTTGAGAGTAAATGGTAATGGAGAGAATTATTGGGTCCTGGTTTCTCTTGCAACACAGTAGCTACATTTGCCTGCTTTAATGTGCAACTTTGTAGGGGTCAGCTAAGATGGTATCCTTCCCCACCATGGGCAGTATAGTACTAGTACCTGCAGAGAAACGACACCTTGGTCTCTTGTTTGCAAAGCCCTTTTCCCATTTGTCCTAGGTTAGACTGCGTCCAGCCATGCAGAGGTGTTGGTTTATGCGTGCTGCAGCAGTGGGCATAATGAATAATTTGCCAAGTGGACAAAAGGTACACCAAGTGAATTAACTTTAAATAATTGGCATGAATTGGCTAATAGCTAGGAAGTGGGCTTTTGAAGAGAGATACCCCAGTTGCAAAGGGTTTTTTTAAAAACCATTGGTTGTATATGATAAAAGATTAGGGTTGGCCCTCTTCATATCTGCTCTCCTTCCAAATAGTTGTATCCAAAAAAGCTGGTGTTGCCACTCCCCTACTTTGCCCCCCTCCTCGTTAAAATAGAAACAGGGATTGATTCATGTCCCACTCCTAAATACATGTAAAATTTGTACAAAAATATCTTCTATGAAAATGATTTGTAATCTGTAGAATTAATACCTGGGAGATGTCTTGAGATGTAAAATCCCATCCTTTGGGTTGTGGGTTTTTTGTTTTCTCCAAATAAATCTGATCTTTAAAGTTCATTATAATACTGAAGTTCTTTGACATACATGTTAGTCACAGTGCTTTTTATTGGATTTAGCCTGCCTCACTTTCCCCTACCATCTCTGACTGTTCTCCTTCAGTATTGGATACTGAGGGTTGGGCTACAGAGGAATCTTAGAGCCCAAGTCTCCCTATCACCCAAACTGGAGTGATCGTAGCTTGCTCCAGCCTTTTATCTCCAGGGCTCAAGGGATCTTACTCCCTCAATGGGCCAAGTCATTGGGATTACTGACAGCTCCTGACTAAGGGATCTACTTTTTTTTTTTTTTTAGAGACAGTCTCACTTTATCACTCTTGGTAGAGTGCTGTGGCATCACAGCTCACAGCAACCTCCAACTCTTAAGCAATTCTCTTACCTCAGCCTCCCAAGTAGCTGGGACTACAGGCGCCCGCCACAACGCCCAGCTATTTTGTTGTTGCAGTGTGGCCAGGACTGGGTTTGAACCAGTCACCCTTGGTATATGGGGCTGGCATCTTTCCTACTGAGCCACAGGCGCCGCTTGTTTCAATGGTTATTGATGGCCAAAAACTGGAAGTTTGCATCCTTACGTTAACTGCTATCACCTGAGCATGCCAGCAGTCCATTTCCTGTATGGTTTGTTTTGATCCTTATGGGGGAATTATAATAAATCCTCACGTCCTTGGGAGAGTGCCTCTGTAAAACCCCTAACCTCACTAAGGCAATCCAGACAGGTACTGCTCTGAGTTAGACCACACTGGTGGGTTGGAGAACCTGGTGACAGGCAGGTCTGTGTTGTCACAAAGGAGGCAACTTCTTTTTTTTTTTCTTTTTTTTTTTTTTTTTGAGACAGTTTCACTATGTCACAGCAACCTCAAATTTGGGGGCTTAAGCAATTCTCTTGCCTCAGCCTCCAAAGTAGCTGGGACTACATGCGCCACAATGCCTGGCTAGTTTTTGTGTGTGTGTGTCGTAGTTATTAAACTGTTGTTTGGCAGGCCCGGGCCAGTTTTGAACCCGCCAGCCCCATGTATGTGGCCAGTGCCCTAGCTGTTGAGCTACAGGCAGGCATGAGCCAGGAGGCAACTTTTTCTTAATCATCTGTCAGACCTAGTGGGAATTTTCCAAACAGTGAGGGACAGACTATTCATTGTTGTAAGACAGGAAAGGGGTTAGAACAGTGGCAAAGAATCCCTAAGGTCATCAGGGGGTGGAGCATAGGAAAGAGCCCAGGAAACTTCAGTGAACAATTTGGAAGATATAAGAGCCAAGAGGAGGAAGCGGGTGGGGAGGGCAGATAGGAGCAGTTATACCATTGGCGCTGTGGCTCAAGGAGCTAAGGCGCCAGCTACATACACCTGAGCTGGCAGGTTTGAATCCAGCCCCAGCCCGCCAAACAGTGATGGCTTCAACCAAAAAATAACCAGGCGTGTGGCAGGCGGCTGTAATCCCAGCTACTTGGGAGGTAGAGGCAGGAGAATCACTTGAGCCCAGGAGTTGGAGGTTGCTGTGAGCTGTGATGCCACGGCACTCTAAGCAGGGTGACAGCTTGAGGCTCTATCTCCAAAAAGAAAAGCATTATCTAGTGTCCATTGGGTGCCTTTATATCTGTCCCAAAATTGGCTGAGTGGTAAGAGGCTTAGTGAGCTGTGAAGTGAAAGCCTTTCCATGTGGCTTTTGCTGCCCATAGAACCTACAAGGCAGTGCTTTCTGCAGCAATCAGTCTCAGTCACATTTTTTAAGCCCTCCACTAGCATTGCAATGTGAGGTCTGGGTAAATGATGGAAATAAGGAACAGAAAAGTAGGAAAGGCTTACTGAAAGAGGTTTATGTTGGCTGTACACAGAGAGGGTTGCAGGGAGGAAATCCCTGTACTGTCTCAAAGGGCACTCTAAAGTCAAAGCCTGGGCTTTGGTATGGCCACATGTTCAACTACAAATATGCATGGACCCTCCCTCCCAGAAGCCCAGCTGCAGAAATGGACTCATGACTGGTCAGCACTCACTGCCAACTTGTGTAAGTTGACCAAAAAGGTAGGGGGAGTGTAGGCTCAATATCCTTGTCCGTGTAGCCCACTTTCTGCTAAGCAGAATCAAGCACTTAGCAATAGTGAGGGTCTCAGTCCATGCTGAGGACATCAGCTCAATAGCTGCTCAAGCTCAGAGCATCTGGTTTCTCAGGAAATGGGAGCCACACATCTCCTGGGAAGCATTATTTGTCAAATAAGCCTCCTCGTTTCTCAGCAACCACTGTAGCTCCCAGGGCCACAATGAGGGGGACTTCCCTTCTCTCACCCTCCCCTCCCCAAAAAGGTTTGGAAGAGGCAAGCTATGCTGCTCTCCACCCAGCTGCAGCAACATTCTGGTTGGACAATACACCCTCTGTCTTGGAGATCCGCCCCTGGAGTTGGCACCCCTGGAGTTGACTCTGCCCCGTTCACCCCCGCCACACTCTTCCTGGTTCCCAGCACCCAAACCCTCCACCGAAAGAACTTCTGATACAGTGGTCTTCCAGCAAGGACAGCCTCACACCTTCAAATCCCTCTTCTACAGCCCCCTTGCCCCACGGATCTGGCCGCACTGGTACAGGCATGGGGTCAGCCCAGACCATGGAAGAGGGGTTTCCACCTTCAGTGCCAAGATGGACCACCCTCTGCATAGTCAAGGTAAGAAAACCTGCACAGAAGGGGCGTTCCTGAAATTGTTTCACCTTCATTAACATCTGTCTGGCTTTCTCCCCTCCCTCTTCCCCTCTGAACGTCCTGCTGCTCTGCCCCAGAAAGCAGGGCACCTGGCTGGCTCCAATGAACCACCTTTTTTTTTTTTTTTTTTTTTGAGAGTCTCACTATGTCCTCGGTAGAATGCTGTAGCATCACAGCTTACAGCAACCTCAAACTTTGGTTTAAGCGATTCTCTTACCTCAGCCTCCCAAGTAGCTGGGACTACAAGGCGCCCACCACAACGCCCAGCTATTTTTTGGTTGTAGTTGTTGTTTGGCAGGCCAGAGCTGGGTTTGAACCTGCCATCTCTGGTGTATGTGGCTGGCGCCCTAGTCGCTGAGCCTGAACCACCGTTTTTTACTTCACCCCCACCAAGCTACCTTCACTTCATTCTCAACCTTTCTCATCAGCTTCCTTCCTGCAGCCTCTGTCCCCTTGATCCCCTTGAAAGCAGGGATCAAGCCTGAGCCAGAATTAAGCTGCCCATCATGTGACCCTTCTCCAGTTCCTTGGAGCCTCCAAAGTTCCTCTCATGGGCCCACCAGGCAGGACAGAAGTACCAGAACGACTGTGAGGGTTAGCTCTACCCACCTCTGGGAGCCAGTCAAGTTTTTGAGTCCTAGTCTCTCCATCGGTACCTTTAGAGATAATGAATCTACCTCAAGGCATGCCTAGCCAAAGACCCTCATGAACACTGGGGACAGCAAGATGGTAAAGCTAGCCAATGTGTCTAAAGAAATGAAAAAAAATTTTTTTTCATATTTTATGTATCTTGATTATATAATACTGCCAAAATACATGGAAAGATCCTCTGCCCTACCCTTTCCCCCAGCAGCCTCCGATCCCCATTGCCCTCCTCAGCATTTCCCTAATCCTGACTCTCCCCACCCCCAGACCATTCCCTTCTGAGCTCCATCCCTTTCTCCAGACCCCAGTGCCCCCACTGCTTTAACTTCCACAACTGCCTAATAGGCACCAACTCAGCCAGAGAAAGAAGATCAAGGTTCCTGGATCATAACCACATCCACCCCCTACCAAATGCCAGTCTCTGTGGAGGTGCTCACATTGTTACCATGTACCGCCTTAAAGACTCTCCCCTGTCCCCAGTTGAAATCAGGGACTTCCCAGGCTTTGCCAAAGACAAGCATAGAAGGAACCCAGTCCAGAGAAGTGACAAGGAGGGATGGAGGGCCTAATAGCTGGCGGTACTGGCTCCTTTGGGCAGGCACAGGACATTGAGCCCTGGGCACTGGCTTCTCAGAATCCTAGCTCCCCACCCCCAGCTTTCATCATGGAAAATCCAGTGAGGGAGGGTGGAGGAGGAAGAAAGTATCAAGAAGTGCTTACTGCTAAAAAACTGTTGGGGAATCTGGGAATGGCAATAGGTTCAGATCATCTAGAAAGATATCCCCTTCCTTCTCTCTACCCTCCAACTTCCCCTCCAGCGTGGCGTAACTCAAACCAGCCCTATGCTCAACTTCGAGAAGTTCCTATCCAGTACCTGATTCAGACGCTGCAAAAGGCAATAAAGTTAGGTCATGGAAAGAACTTTCATCTCCACTAGGAAGCCTGGGGCTTAAGTTAAATGTAAGGAAGACCTTGTTAGAAACAGAATGGTTCAGTGCCCATAGCACAGTGGTGAGGGCGGCAGCCACGTACACTGAGGTGGCGGCAGGGTCAAATTTGGCCTGGGACAGCTAAACAACAATGGCAACTGCAACAAAAAAAATAGCCGGGCGTTGTGGCGGAAGCCTATAGTCCCAGCTACTTGGGAGGCTGAGGCAAGAGAATCTCTTAAGCTGGGGCAGCGCCTGTGGCTCAAAAGAGTAAGGTACCGGCCCCATATGCCAGAGATGGAGGGTTCAAACCCAGCTCCGGCCAAAAACTGCAAAAAAAAAAAAGAGAGAGAGAGAGAATCTCTTAAGCCCAAGAGTTTGAAGTTGCTGTGAGCTGTGACACCATGGCACTGTACCAAGGACGACAAAAAGGGAGGGGGGGCGCCTGTGGCTCAAAGGAGGGCACTGGCCCCATATGCCAGAAGTGGCAGGTTCAAACCCAGCCCCGGCCAAAACCTGCAAAACGAAAAAGAGAAAAGAAATTGAGAATGATGGTGCAGCTCCAAAGCAGGGAAATGGATGGGATGACTGGAGTTGCTTGGAGGTGGGGGTGGTAGCTTGAACCTGATTCCTCAGCTCTGAGTCCTTTTGATACAGAAGTCTCCCGCAGGGTAGACGACCACTGAATGGTGTCCAGCATCTTGGGACACACCACCAGGTGTCTTCACCTGATTACAGCACCCG